ACAAAAAACCGATTCTAATTGATTAGTTTTATTCACTATACTGCGTGCGTTAATGTTCAGTAATCTGACAAGCCTTTCCTTGACTTGTCAAGTAGAATGTACATTAGCACGAAAACCAGAAGTTATTTCACGTTGGTTTGTTGTTTCATTCCAGATTGATTCCATCATTATCAATCCGTAGCTTATCGTGCTGAAGTGAAACTTTCTTACCGAGCAACTTGTCATGCTTCGCACTTTCCCATAATAGCTTACGTTTTTTCAAAGTGACTTGGGAATAGTCATTCTGAACAAAAATGTTAGATCCCTTCAGCTTTGAAACATTTATAAAAATCGCTACCTTCTCGTTATAATCCTGTAGAAACATTATTACTGATCTTTTAGATCCAGTCCTTCCAAGTCTGTGAATACGGCCAATAGAGATGCACTTGACACCTAGCCTATTTTCGAGTGTTTCAGTAATACCTTTACGCTTCAGATCAGCTTCTGTCTCGTTTGGCTCTTCAAGGATACCATGAATAACTACGTTCGAGCGCCTGCTTCTGTCTTCGATATCGATGAGTTTGCTAGCGTGATTTTTCACAGACTTCTGAAACGATTTTACCGAGTTTTCAAGATGACCTAAGCCAGATTTCAGATCCGAGACCTGGACCTGAAGCTGCTTAAACAACTCTCTAGTGTCAGCTATTATATTTTCCGTTTTAGTTTTCAAGTCGGCTAACTCATTTTGCAGCACATTCTGTTTATCAAGAATGTTCTGCAATAATTCAGCATTAGTGGGTCCCGGATTTTCAACATCCCCTCTAAGTAACAGTTTTAGCACACAAAAACACTCATAACGAATTTCACAACACTGTCATGGGCACGGCAGAACTAGCAAGAAACGACAGTCGCTAGTAAACGTAGAAGAGCTAGAACAAACCTGCAGAAAGCAGAAGAACGGCTTGGTGAGTGACATGCTTTGGCCAGGCCCACCGTGCCCACTGAAGATAAACTGATGAACTGATTCTTTTATGCGGGTGATGCTAGATGACGTCACGTATCCAGGGGGCGTTGTAGCTTCCTTGAGATGGGTGGCGATTTCCGTTGGATTAACATGGTTGCATGTCGGCGCCTCAAAATGGTCCTTCAGCTGATGAAGGGATGCCGGTATTTCACCATGGGGTAGGCGAAGAACTGACGGCCCAGTGACCCAGAGAAGCACGCACTGCAAAAAGCAGAACGGCTTGGTGAGTGACCAAGCCAAGGGAGTGACCAAAATAAGATTATGCACAAAGGTCAGAAGCTATACGCACTTGCATGAAACTTTACCCACTTGCATGAAATGGCATGAAACTGGCTGTGAGAGCCACCTGCACACTTTATACATGCGACGGACCTTGGGAAATATCTTTTTGTAGAAATAATTTTCCCTGTCTTCTAGCAACAGGTCTCTATTCTAGCTGGCATAAATTTCCGACAATTATTAATGCTCAACTCGGTCAAATTGGAAAGCTAACACATCAATCCGATATTTGGCTTGCAAAGTTTACTTTCATTACAGAACTTCAATGTTACTGTAGCATATTCACGATAGTCATGCACATCTGTCAATTTCGTTAAGCTAGTGCATTTTTGTACCTACACGCGCACATTTTTTCTCGCAAAAGTCTGTAAAAAATCGCTATGTTACCCAAATCGGCAAATTGAAAAAAATTCTTAAAGTTGAGTGGCTGAACTAACTACTAGAAGGGCTGGGTGCACGAGAAAGAAATTTAACAAGCCAAATCGAAGACCGAAAAGCGTCGATCACCAGTGATCGATTTGAATAGGTGTGGTAACGAAAGAGTTAATGAGGGACAACTTCATTTCGGCGCTGTTAGCAACATTCTTCGCTATCACCCCAGGAGGGGTGACAAAAATAAAACGAGGGGAGTGTAAAGAAGAAGACGGAAAAGAAGAGACAGGGGGGCAGTCTTTGGAGGTGGAGGAAAAGGAGAAATTGAAATAAACAGTAATGGCGACCATGCTGACTCTGTGATTCTCGGTGTCATTACAAAGCTTTCGCTCCCAAAGTATCCTAAACTTCACTTCACTTCACTTTATTTCCTTAAAGACCCCACAGGGGGGTGTTACATAAGGGGTGGGTTGTACAACATAGATACAAAAGCCACAGGTTAACATTGCAGATGCATTGACACACTTTGAATAAAACGTGATGGACAGGTGATTGAAACAACATCGTGGGGAAGGTCATTCCATTCTTTGGCGGCGCGGCAGAGAAATGATGCAGAAAATGTTGAGGTGCCAGATCGGGGTCGGAAGACTTGAAGTGGATGGCCAGTGCGGGGAGAAATGCGTGCGGCGGGAGCGATGTAAGGTGGTTGGTGGAGTGAGCTGTGATACAACTTGTGGTACAGTGACAACGTAGCAATTCTGCGGCGAAGGGAAAGACTTAATAGACCGGATTCATTTTTAAGGGATGAAACACTGACATCGTAAGAATAAGAAGAATGAATGAAGCGAGCGGCACGATTTTGAACTGCTTCGATGGCGTTGATCAGATAAACTTGGTGAGGGCTCCAGATGGGTGATGCGTATTCAAGTTTGGACCGGATTAGCGACTGATAGGCCAGAAGACGAACGTGATACGGTGAGTGACGTAGGTGACGTTTTAGGAATCCTAATGATCGGTTGGCTGATGAAATCATGTTAGTGATATGCGTTCGCCAGGAAAGATCAGGGGTTAATGTTACACCAAGATACTTGTAGGATACGGCTGTTTCGACTGGCATGTTAGCAATTTCATAGGAAAATTGGAGTGGGTTTTTGCGGCGGTGGAAGGAAACTAATTTGCATTTGTTAGGATTAAGGGTCATAAGCCAATGGTCACACCAGTTTAATACTTCATTAAGGTCATTCTGTAGTGCTGCTTGATCAAAAGTGTTGGTTATTTTGCGCTAGATGACACAATCATCTGCAAACATACGAAGGTTGCAGGATAAATTGTTAGGTAAGTCGTTAATGTAGATTAGGAACAAAAGCGGGCCAAGGACAGATCCCTGTGGCACTCCAGACCTAACAGGAAGAGAGTTAGATTTGACGTTGTTAACTACAACAAACTGAGAGCGGTTAGTCAGAAATTGAGCAATCCAGTTAAGAAGTTCAGCTGGTAGATTTATTTGAGAAAGTTTTTTTAGTAGGCGCTGGTGTGGAACTTTGTCGAAAGCTTTAGTGAAGTCAAGAAAAATGGCATCAGTTTGGAGGTTACCATCGAGGTTAGCATGCAGGTCGTGAAGGAAAAGGGCTAGTTGGGTTTCGCATGAGCGGCCTTTTCGAAATCCGTGTTGCGAGGAATGAAAGAAATTGTTACAATCAAGAAAATGCATGATATGAATGTATATGACATGTTCCATGAGTTTGCAACATACACTGGTTAATGATATGGGGCGATAATTTAACGGGCAGTCTCTTTTACCTGTCTTGTGAACCGGAATGACCTTCCCACACTTCCAGTCGAGAGGCAGAATACCTGAGGAAAGTGACTGGGAAAACAGCAAAAACAAAAACTCGGCTGATATGTGCTTTGTGTTCTTTAACAGCTTGGATGTAATTTCGTCGGTACCCGCCGAGGATGACAGTTTCATTTTTTCTATTAAAGACAGGATACCATTGAAACCTATGTTAAAGGGTGGCATTTCAGGCAGATTAACAGAGACTAATTCTGTTTCAACGGGGTCAGATTCATTCGTAAACACAGACGAAAAGGCGGCATTGAATATATTGGCACATTCTGAACAACTTAATTCTTGACCAGTATCATTAGTAAGGGTGATGGGGGGCGTGTTAGGAGGGTTTATTATTTGCCAGAAACGCTTCGGTGAATCAGCAAGAATTTTCGGAAGTTCCGTATGAAAAAATGAGTACTTGGCGTTGCGCACTTCACTTGAATATGCTTTCTCGGCAACCTTGTATTTTTCCCATGCAGAATCAGTGTTTTTATTCTTCGCAGCCCGAAAGAGGCGTTTCTTCTTATTTTCAAGCCTTTTTAATGTTTTAGTAAATCAAGGTTTTTGGCGGGTGGGACGAAAGCTTATTTTAGGGATAAATTGGTCAGCTAGCTGGTTTAACTTGTTTTTGAAGATTAACCAGTTATCGTTAATGGGTCGCTCCCAGAAACCATCAAGGAACGTCGGAAGAAAAACTTCAAGTTCTCGGGTGATGGCCGCGTAGCTACCCTTGTCATATAACGTAATAGTTTTAGTGCAGGCTTGGCGCATTTGAGGAACGAAGGTAAAATTAGCGTGAATGACCTTATGGTCACTTATTTCATCAAGATATGTTATAGAAGAAAGGCTCTCAGGATCAGTTGTTAAGATTAGGTCAAGAATGTTAGCAGTATCTCGAGAAACACGTGTAGGTTGTGTTATCAACTGAGTGAGATTAAAGTTGAGGCAAACATCAAGGAAATCGTTGGCCTCCTTAGCATTGGGTGCTGATGAAGTTAGATTACACCAATCAATGTTAGGAAAATTGAAGTCCCCCAGGAGGAGGACGTGAGCATTTGGGTATTTGGTCGTAAGTTCGGCTAAAATACCATTAAGCTGGCGCGCGAAATCCGGGCTACTTTTGGGAGGCCTATAACAAACACCTAATAGTACGGAATGTGGTACGGAACGAAAAAGCAACCACAATATTTCTAGGTCGGAATCAATGTTTATAAGGGAGCATGAAAGTTGTTCGTTAGTAGCAATCAGGACGCCGCCGCCCCGGGTGCCGGGACGATCTTTTCGAAAAAGATTAAAGTGAGGCAAGTCGGTCAAAATTTCGCTGTCGGTGACGTCAGAGGTCAACCACGTTTCAGTTAGTATAAGTAGGCTGCTGTTAGATGAAGATACAAGGTCGGACACGTGGTCGCGTTTGGAAAAATAGCTACGTATGTTGGTGAAAAGGACCGAAAAAGAAAGATTGGCTTTGTGACCAAAGACGGGACAATTAGAAGATCTCGGGCGTGAAGGCAACTGCTACGAGCTTTCTTCTACATTTTCAGTTGCCTCGTTAAATACGTATCGTTTGGATCCTATAGAAAGGGTCTTATACCGTAAAAGGAAGGGACCCGATTTTACTTTAGCAAAAGCCAGTAGGTGCTTCCGTGCGTTCCGGACACGATGCGAGAAATCCTCCCCGATGCTAAAATTTGTATGTTTAAGATGGGGGCCCTTAGCAAGGACGGCTTCCTTGGTTTTGAAGGATGTAAACTGCACTATAATAGGCCGACACCGGCCTTGCGAGTGGCGGCCAAGACGGTGGGCACGCTCGACATCCTTGGATTCGACAGTTATTTTTAGGTGGTCCCTACAAAAACCAGTAATACGCTCCTCAGACTGCGCATACGTTTCGGATGGCTTGTCGTCCGCTAGGCCGTAAAACAACAAGTTGTTTCGTCTGGAACGATTCTCCGCGTCGTCCAGTCGAGCCTCCAGTACAGAGACCTGGGTAGCTGTCTGGGAGGTGGCGGTGGCCATGGCGTCAAGATCGGATCGGAGTGTATCGACACTACTGTAGTGGGATTCTAGACTGTCGATTCTCTTGCCAAGTTCAGAAATGGCTTTATCAGTGGTAGAGAGCTGGCTTTTTAGGATTTGTACATCGCTAATGAGCTGGGATTGACCGGAAGACAAGCTTTTTAGTTCAGTCATTATTTGCTCAAGGGTGGTCGGACCAGGGTTAGTTTCAATATCTCCACCCAACAGTAACAGCAGAGAAAACACAATGTTCATACAATCAGAAATAATGCAAACACAGCACTGGGGGCTCGGTAGCTGAACAAGGCATCGGTTGCTTGTTTTTTTAGCTAAAATACAGTGATGATTACTGACCTGCATCATGAACAGAAGTGGATTAGACTGCGTCGTGGCACAGCCACCGAGCCCACAGAGCGCGGCCGGCTGGTGGGGGGGATTTATACGCCGTGCGCTTGTTGAAGTCGATGACGGTGAAGCTGTGAGAGCTCTTTCGAGCGTCCAGTTTCCGGACTGCAGCGTCGATAGGGCAGTGGTGGCCAATGCTGGAAGTAGGTGCCAGTCATCTGCACTGACGGACCTTGACGGGAAAGGGTTGCTCGCATCGATGCATGATACCGGGCCCAGAAGAACGGGTACGAGCACGCAGCTGATAGCGCGTACGAAATCCTGCATCATGAACAGAAGTGGATTAGACTGCGTCGTGGCACAGCCACCGAGCCCAATTTAAAGGGTACCGGCATATCAATTCATTCATCCTAAGTGAAACTGTGTCAGTTCTAGGTCCGTCCTGAGACGGTACGCTTAAGCTTGCTTGCCTTCCAGCAAGCAAGCTTAAGGCTTAGTTGCTAAATGTGAAGGATCCTCTCCCTCGGCAACACTTTCCTGGTGTGGTCTACAAGATACCATGCGCCGATTGCGAATCGGTGTACATTGGCACGAGTGGAAATTACTGCAAACGTCTGATGCAACACAAGAATGACATCGCCAAGGGCCACACAGTGACAAATGCACTCGCAGAGCATGCCGAGAAGACGGGCCACGAGATAAGCTGGGACAACGCACGCATCGTGGCCACGGAGAAGAATTTTACAACCAGACTGAACCTCGAATCACTAATCATTCAGACGACAAGTAACACAATCAATAGATCATCTGGCACACTAAACCACGTGTACTCCCGGACTTTGCGTCATGCGCTCAACGTTACATAAGAACCTGTTGCTCAGCCGTCATTCCATTGTGAACAAGGGACCCGTACGGGTCCCGAAACGTCATTGTTTTGTTTGACATTGGTCAGTGACCTGTTTTTTTTCAACAATGATTATGAGAGACGCCGTAGTGGAGGGCTCCGGAAATTTAGACCACCTGGGGTTCTTTAACGTGCATCCAAATCTGAGCACACGGGCCTACAACATTTCCGCCTCCATCGGAAATGCAGCCGCCGCAGCCGGGATTCGAACCCGCGCCCTGCGGGTCAGCAGCCGAGTACCTTAGCCACTAGACCACCGCGGCGGGGCTATTTTCACATTTCTAGTAGTCAATGTACAGGTAAATCGATGGCACTCAGACTTTGTGTTACTTAAAATGACTTTTTAAGGGACCGGATTCTGTGAAACTTGCACCTCCACCCTTTTTGTGACAAGGATGTGCGGATTCCGAAGAGGAATCCGCACATCCGATCATGTCATAAACGGCAACGAAGTGCGGATTCCGAGTGTTGTCGTTTATGACCGAAACATAGTCACGCAGAACAGAGTGCGGTTCAAAGTGGTGCTCGCATACTGCCGAAGAAATGCTGAAAGCTTTATCTTCCTGCGAAGGTTCCGCTTCCACTTCTTTTGGTGATTGTCGTCTTTTGGTGTAACGAACAGCAACGCTTTTGGCCCATTCGGGTAGCCCGTGGGGCAACCCGAAGCAAAGACCCAATGCAAGTCTTTCCGCCTCTTCGCCATACGACAGGTTGCATGCGGTGCTCAGGAACCATGGGAGAAGGCATTGAAGTGCAACGGGTGCTCCCAACACTGACGGCACTCAAGCCCAGCCAACGGTACTATAGCAGGTTGGACGCAGCCATCTGCACCATACCGCCGCCACACACGCCATGGAAATAGAGAGCCTTCATGTGCATGTAATAATTTGTAATAGCTCGCAGCTAATGCGACACGGTTGAAAAAGGGACACACGAAGAGAACCGCTGATTAACAACTGAATTTTATTTCAAAGCAACGTGCAATAATATTGCCACGTTCCATTCCTCAAGTTTTGTTATCGCCCCAATACACTACACAATTCTCAGCGCAAACAGCGCTTGCAGTTTTCGAGAAGCTTCAGGACTGTATTAGATCATTTCGATAAGATCATGCCAACTCCGCGAACTGTACAGATTATTCTGGAACCTACGCCGCCGCCAGCGATAACGCTAGAACATTCTATGGCAAAAGTATAAACGCCGACACACTTCGCCTCTTGTCAGTTGTTGATCAACGGCCGACGCTCCGTTCGCCGCTGTCAGTCCAAGACTGCTACTGTAGTCCGACTTTCCGTTTACTCGGCACAGGTTCGCCCAAATAAACAATTTATTATTCGACTCGCAGTGTGCTCCATTCGTCCACGTCACGACCCCCGTGACATCTGGTGGAGGTGCTGTTTCTTCCATGTACCGAACGCCTCCGTCAAGCCGTGAACCCAGCCCACGCTGTGAAGACACCGACGCTAGCAACGAGCAGTGAGTTAGCCGCAGGCAACAAGGTCTGCCACCGTAGTACAGGCTTTTACTGGACAAGGCTCAGAAAACAAAGACGTTGACGTCGACCACGGAGACCATGTCAACGCCGGTTCCACCTGTACCACTCCTGCTCCGGCAACTCAAAGAGCCGCCAACTTTCCACGGTTCGCCACTGGAAGACCCGAAAAGCTGGATCGAAAGGTTCGACCGCGTCGCCGCCTTCAATGACTGGACAGACGATGACACGCTCCGGTATGCGTGTTTCGCCTTAGAAGATGCTGCTCGGACCTGGTTCGAGAATCAAGAGCGAAGCCTTACAACGTGGGACGTCTTTCGCGCCAGGTTCCTCACCACTTTTGCAAGTGTGGTGCGCAAGGAGAAGGCAGCAGCTCTCCTCGAAACTCGGATGCAGATGCCAAATGAAAGCGTGGCGCTATTCACGAAAGATATGATTAAACTCGTCCGCCACGCTGACTCTGACATTTCCGAGGAGAAGAAGGTCCGTCTGCTCATGCGAGGAGTAAAGCAGGAACTCTTCGCCGGCCTGATGAGAAACCCGCCGAAGACGGTCGCCGAATTCGTTTCAGAAGCATCTACGATAGAGAAGACACTCGAGATGCGCACGCGGCAATATAACCGTTGCTTCTCGTCTACAAGATTTGCCGGCATTAAAGCACTAGAAACCACTGACTTGCGTGAGACGATCCAAGCGATCGTGCAAGAGCAGCTGCGAAAATTACTTCCTTTAGCGCAGTCTCACGTGGAATCCATCGCAGACGTCGTACGCCAGGAGATCCAGCAATCGCTGTGCATTCCTCAGCCTCAAGTGCCGCAGCTGCAAGTCATGAGCTATGCTGCTGCAGCCCGCCGCAACGCCCCTCCTTCACGCGCACGCCAAAACGCCGCCCCATCGCACTTTCGTCGCCAGACGCCACCAACCCCACCCACGTCCTACCGTTCGCCAGCGGGCCAGCGCAGTGCGCCGAGGGAAACCGACGTTTGGCGTTCACCAGACAACCGCCCGCTCTGCGACCACTGCAGCGAGGCCGGGCACACATACCACCGTTGCCAGTACCGACAGATGGGACTGCGTGGCTTCGCCGTCAATGCACCACGTCCACAGCCAGGAAAACGACCCTGTGACATCGCCGACTACCTGACAGGAACTCAGTGGACACGACGAAGTCCTTCCCGTTCACCGTCGCCCAGCCGCCGCACGTCACCGTACCACCGGCAGTACTCTGACACAACGCGGAACCGGTCTCCTAGCCCGAACCCGGGAAACTAAGGGCAGCAACTGATGGAGGTGCGGTTGCTGTGCGACGAACTACCGAAGATCCTCCGACGATGACGACGCCGCGATGGAGCTTTCCGAACACTACGCCAACCAGGCAAAATCTTGACGACGAAACCTCACTCACCGAGGGTGACCTGACGACGCAACATAGAAGCAGCTCAACAAGTCGACGATGCCGTGACCCGACGCCACGGCCTAACTGCAACGCGAGACGGCGAATTAGCGACCTCGACGTTCTTATTGACGGCCACAGTGTGACCGCTCTCATCGATACTGGAGCCGACTATTCCGCCATTAGTCAGTCGTTCGCCGCGAAGTTGAAGAAAGTTAAGACAGCTTATGCGAAGGCCCCGAAATACGCACAGCCGGAGGTCATGTCGTAACGCCAGCAGAAATCTGCACAGCCAGAGTCACCATTAATGGCCATATTTATCCTGGAGACTTCGTAGTCCTACAGCGTTGCTCGAGAGATGTCATCCTTGGCATGCACTTCTTATGCCTCTTTGGTGCTGTCATCAGCCTAAGAACAAAGTCGATAACGTTATCCACAGAAGAAGCACTACTGCCGCGCACGCCGTCGAGAAACCAGGCGTTGAATGTGCTGGGAAAACAGGTTACCAGTTCGCCTCGCTCCAGCGTCATTATTTCAGTCGGCGCCCCTAAATCACCCGACTTGGAAGGCGCCGTTCAAGGCAGTCAGCATCTGTTGGTCCCCCGCAATATTTGCGTCGCAAGAGGAATTGCACAGCTGCGGGGAGGCAAAGCATTTGTTATGCTCACAAATTTCAGCAATGAATACAAACGTGAACAAAGGAATGACGGTCCAAAAGGACTTGTTTTTTGGGCTAGTTGGTGCATACATCGACGGTCGCATAATCGAAGAAGTCGTGGAAGCCACCAGTGCTTTCGCCCTTGCCGATTCTGCTGAACCTGCTCAGAGAAACCAAGCCCCTCCCTCAGCTTTCGACGTCAATCCCAGCCTTCCGAACCATAAGCAAGAACAGCTCAAGACCCTGCTGCTGCAATACAAAGATTGCTTTTCATCGTCGTCAAAAACTTGGCAGACGCCAATCGCGAAACATCGCATCATAACCGAAGAAAATGCCAAACCACTCCATCAGGGTCCGTACAGGTTTTTGAGGCGAAAACGCG